TGTAGATTTATCTACACCATTGTGTTTTTACTCTATAGCTTTTCATAATTCTAGAGTTCTCTTTAAATATGTTCACCATGATTATTCATGGAGGTTCTTGAATCTTATTATCAAATATCCTCCTTTCTCAAGATATACTTCATAATCCCCTAGAAGTTTCTCACTTTTCCATGAACACTTTATCAAGTATCTTCCATGACAAAATATCTTGTCTTCTTGAGAGCTCAAGAACCTTCTAGAATATTCACAGGTATGCGGTACTTTATTTTCAATACTACTCTTAGTGAGCGATTCCCCACTCTCTAAAATATACTTTGTACTAAATTAGTGACAATTAATATGAATCGGAGAAGTACATCACTAATATACTTCTAAACATATATATTAACCATGAACTCAAATAATCAAATATGTACTTTAGCTAGACTATCCTCATTTCCTACAAGGATCACATTATAAGAGCATCTCTAACTAATCCTTTAAAAGGGTTGCAACCCCTAGAAATTGCTAGTATAGAGAAAAATAACACTACGAGATTTCTAGTAGCACAACTCATCCCGATAACATTTCTATAGTCGACTCTAAAATCACACCCATATGCCTCAGAAATTTCATCCCTTAGCAGAAAGAAAGTTTCACTTTCCAATCTGAATCTATCACCACACCATTCGGAATGTGCCGCCACTACAGGCCATCCACTGGCGTCGTCAACATCAGTGTGCCTCCTCCATCACTCTCCGTGATGCCTCAGCCCTATATGCAGCTTCCTCCCGCCCTTGGACATGGTCGTTGCTTGTAGCTCGCCGCCAGCCAGCAGCTACTCGTGCATTGATGCCCGAGCACCGTCCTGAAACTCACCCCCAATCACCGCCCTTCTCCCCCCATGCCTCCCTTCCCAGCGGCTGGCAGGCATCGTGTCGACTGTGCTCGCCACCGAGAGATCTGAAGCGGTGGCTCAAGGTCTGTTGTGGCCGCCACCCACTCCTGGTTGTGTTGCTCTACCACCCGCCACGAGCTACCTTTGTGTCTGTTGTTTGCCGTCGCCGGAGCTCTGGAAAAAGATACCCAAAAAAACACCTTTGGCCCACTCATCCGTGGGTGGGCCTTACCGTTTCTGTTGTGTGCAGAAAAATAATTATAGAGTAAACATTATAATTAGTTAAAGCAGTGTATCCTAAAACCTAGCAATTTAAAGAGACATGCCAAATGGAGGCACGCCCAGCTAGAAAAAAACAATTTAAAGAGACTGCATCCAAATCACTGAAGATAATTTGTTAGGTTGGTCATAGCGGGGATAACATAGGTAGTATCATGCACTTGAGACTCGGAAACATACTTATGTGGTAGGGAATTAAAGAAGAGAGAGATGGTTATAGTACTTCCTCCGTCACAGTTTAGAAGGCACAGTTAAATTTGCGTGCGTTTCCATAATAGACAAGATTTAGGGTGCATTGCATTTATTTATAGTAGCTAATTAGTACTCCGATATACTATTTCTATATGCATGCGTAGTGTGAATGCTATTTTTTAGTCCATCCCACAATCAATAGATAACCACCTAGGTATCAGAGAATTTCCAAGCGCGCCTTCTAAATCGTGACGGAGGGAGTAACATAGGTAGACACTGCAACATAATAAATATGATGCTACTAGAGTATGTGTCATGCATAGCAATAAGTGAGACCATCTATGATACTAATCTATAATATTATGCATTATAAATGTAGTATCATACATTAATATCATATGCATGATAAGATACTAGTATATGATACTATCCATTATGACCAGCCTTAGAATTGCAACGGATCGAATAGCTGATCTGACTCTATATTTTGTTCTTTTCACCTTTCCCACAGGAAATTCAGGCGTAACTTGGCACGTACTACAAAATATGCCTCCGATCCGATCTTGGCAAGTGTGCAATGATGCCAATGCCCGGCCCGGCTGTGAAGTAGACGGCCGGTCAAGCAGGAGACGAGAAGGAGAACATGTGCGTCCACTTGAGATATCGATGCGACGCTCGGGGAAAAGCAAATCGATCTTTTCTCGTCCGTGCGCCGGTCGCGTCATCACGAGGATGCACCGCGTGTGTAGTACTAGTACTACCCGATCCGCTGTCACAGGAAGTCAGGGACAAGTCGGTCGCTAAGTCTTGCAGCTCCAAATTAACAACGAGATATGGCGTTGTCTGCTCAGCGTCAACTACTACTAGTTGGCTCGCTTGATTTAAATTAACACCACGTGCTCTGTACGACTGTACTGTATACAATTACTACAAACTACCCGGAACTAGCGTCTTGTGTGTGTCCATCTGCGCCTGCGCTCGTCACGCACTCGTGTAGCCTAATGATGACGTCACCTTGGTGACGTTGGTTTTCATTTTAGTTATAACATAGATCCAGTAGTTAGGTGTCAAGGAGGTTTGCTTGATTGTCATGATTAAATACTAGTGCTACCTCTAGTGCGTGTTGAGAAAGCTCATCCTCTCACGTATTTATGTTTCAAAGTACAACTCTCTACTTTTTTTTACTAAATGTACGACACTACAAAATTGCAAGATGCAAAGAATTATATATGGACAAGTAGGCTACATGACTAAGCATCTTCTATGGTTTAATAACTGTTTGTTTGTTGTAATCATTTGCACATTATATTGCTCTGTTGTGATTTGTTTTGTACTCTGCTTAATAAGTAATAAGAATGGTTTCAATCTCCTTTTCAAATCTTTTTCACATCTATTACACAATTGATCCTGTCAACAGCTTTCCACCTTATCAAGCATGCCATGTCACCATCCACTAGCACTATTTTTCAGGCATGGGCCACATCCACTAACTTTAATCTACTATATCTAAATAGTTAGCCTCCCACTACTAGATTTTTCTCAACATGCATGCTTCCACATCACCTTAATTATTTGTAGCCATTCAATCAAAATGGTGTGAACTTAGGCTGGTCATAGTGGGGAGTAACTTATACTAGTGTCATGCATATGACACTAGTCTAAGTTACTACCTTCATAGTGCAAAATAATATAATAGTGTCATAGATGGGTTCATTTCTTAGCTTGTAGACTCGTCCTTTCTCCAAAAACGCTATGTTACAGTAACATATTATGTTACTCTAAACACCTCTCTCTTCTCATTAACTACATGCCACATAAGCAAAATTTTATTGGAGTGCGTTATGTTACTACCTAAGTTAGTCCCACTATGACTAGCCTTAGAAGTAATGCATGTACTCATAAGTTACACTATGTGTTGGACCCTTGGAGCAAAAATATATAGTATATGCTTAACATATTGTTAAAAGATGGTGTCACATTATGTGGACTCCAAAAGGTTTCTCTTTTCTGCATCATGTTGTCACATACTTCGTATGTTTATTGTTTTTAAAACATACACTAAGAACACTCTTATATTTGTATTTTCATTAGGTTTTGTTTGTTTGTTTTTAAGCACTTATTGATGTATTTGCTTTAACATGTTCCCGCGGCAACATGCGGAGCATCATCTAGTTATTACAACATGCACTCTCCCACCTCAGCAAGTTATGCATGTCATACGTGTCTGCCATGTCATAATTAGTCACATAATTATCCACATCCTACATCTTACACAAACTCGTGTCATTAGCATGTCATCTTATTCATGTGGTATGAAAATTTAACTAGAATTTGTTGCACACATTGATCTTTAGGATGTATTAAAGAGTGAAAATGTGAAAGAAGGCATTACGTGCATACAAGTATTGGCTCTATTCATAAATGCTAAAACATCATTTCTTGATAAACTCTACAATGCTACCACATTTTTTGGAGATACATTTATTGAAATGAAAAAGGAAGAAATACTAGATATTAATCTGACAGTATGACTTAAGATGTTTTTATTTCAAAAATTTCTCAAACCGTTAAGTTGCCAACTTAACAAAGTAAATGCTAGGGTGCAGTAATAATATTTCGTAGCTACATGTCTCTTAGTGTTTTAGCAGGTATATGGACGTGCAAGTTTGACAACTTTCAAAAAGATATATTATGTGAGTAATACCACTCATAGATCTACCGTTGGTTTATGCATGCTTTGAGGCTTGCACTTTCATTATATTCATGGTAGCAGATATCATCTTACAACTTAAACAAGACACACTCTACATTTTCACATGTCTAAAACAAAGAACAATGAGGCCTAGTTTGGACTACCACCTAATCATTAATTCAGTTTTCAACACCTAACATACACACAAATGAATTTATAAAAAGTGAAATATGAATTAGTTATGTGGTCTCAATGCATGAGTTCTCATAATAATAGGGGGTCTCCAAATATGCTAAAACGTTATGCTCTCTTCCAAATTTTTGCATGAGTAAACTGGACGAAACATGCAATAGATGAAACATGCAAAATGGTTTTTGCAGTCAGTTTATAATAAGAGCTACCTAGATATTTTTGTACTGCAAGCGGTTTTCCATGAAGACCACATGTGAGAAGGTTTGGCGCAAATTATTCCCTAAGAACATGCAACATGCTTAAGGCCTTGACCCAAGATTGTAGGATATGTTGGTTCAAGGCTGAAAAATCTTATGCTTCTGAGACCTCAAACAACACTCACAAATTCAATCACCTAGCATACGTCGGAAAACCGCGTCGTCTCTACCTCCGGCGAGGTTCTGGCAAGTCCTCGCTCGTGACGCGGCCGAGCGCTCGCCACCAACATAGCTGTTGCGACATTGTTGGCTCGAGCTCATCGGACTATCCAATCCGAGCGGCGACGAAAATGCAATAGGCCCCCACCCGCACCGGCCAACCCTCATCCTTGCCTGCACCCGCGACACTATGGCCATCTCGGCATCAGATCGGCTCTCCTGACTCCACTGTGCTCAAATTGACTGATGCTTACAAAGTTTCAGCTGACAAGAAATAGCAAACGCGCAAATTATACCATAAGAAACCACCATTGTGTCGACATTTCTGTCCACACCTAAATACTTGGGCACATTAACTTAGCCGGGCTGGAAAATTTTCCAGTATTCTCTCAGCCACCGCATTTGTTAGAGCATGCATGAAATCTGCATCATTCTTGAGAGAATTCACCATCTTGTCCAACAGAAGATTCTGAAATTCAGGCGTAACAACCTCCCTCTGGATAGTCTCCAGGTCCAGCCTCGATCCTGACCCATGGTTCGTCATGTCTTCTAGCCTGATCGTCCGGCCGGACGGGTTAATGGAGACCGAGCACGGCTGTGACCTCGCGTACCCTGTGGACTCGTTGCCGACGAATTCTCGCTCCGGGGATTTAGCGTGGTTGTGCTCGCCCTCGTAGGTCGCCACTAGCTTTGACCTGTCCTCCGCGTCTCTCTGCACCTATGCAGATCAAAATTCAGCAAAATCTCAGAGTACCTGATCATGGGTGCGAACATAGGTAGCATGGGGTAGAACAGGAGATGACTATTTAGAACATATGGATGGATACCTTCTTCTTCACGGGGCAAGATGGTGCAAATGCGCAGCGGAAGTAGGATCTGGGGTGCGGGTTGTCGCGCGTCACCTTCTGCCCATACTTCCTCCACTGGTACCCGTCCTTGACGCCCTGCGCGAGTAGCAAGCAGCAAAGAAAGCACCGTTCATGTCATGCATGGCTCGTGATAATCAACAAGGAGTGCGTGATGGGAATGCCAATGCGTTGTCGCAGGATGTTCGACTCACAAGGTTGGCGTCGGTGTCGGCCGGCTCCGCGCGCGCGCAGACCGTCCTGACCTTGGGCCGCGGCTCCACCGTCACGCCGGCGGCCTCCTCCCTCGCTGCATTGGAGGCAGAGCCGCTCGGCGCCCAAGCGGTGGTGACGGCTGACGCTGGAGCCCTCGCCAGAGCACGCAGGTCGGGGCGACCGGCGAGTATGGCGCCGAGCGTGCTGGCCAGCCGCCGGTTCTCCTCGCGCACTCGCCTCAGCTTCTCTTCGAGACCCTCAGCCTGCTCAGCGTTCAAGAACGCAGTGATCAGCAAGTGCAGTTACAAAAATATTCATGGAGATCATCAATGAGGGAGGATCATCGACCGGACCGTCGGGGAGCCGGCGATGAGCGGGAGAAGCCCGGCGCTGTCGGTCGGGCATGACGAGCCGTCGTCCATGGCCTCAGCAACACTGCACCAGGCGTCGCTACTCCCTTGTATAGGCACCTTGCAACGTGGGAGGAACCGAGAATTTTGTGTGAGGACGCCGAGGACGCTGCGAGGAGATTGATTGATGCAGGTCCGTGATCGTTCGCCCTCGTGTCGTGTTCCCCTCTCCCATTGACTTGACTGACGGACGCATCGACCAATTTCCTCACGAACCAGTGTGTCATCCCCTGACGTCCTCCGTGACGCGTATTTTTCACGTCAGAAAGAGGACGACCGATGCTAGCAATATATTAGAACTGCACACTTACGTTGCGGGTGACCACGTCGTATTCAATTTAGCTTTGTGTGAAGTGGTTATTTCTTAGTCGCGTCCTTGACCTCAAGGTTTCTTATGGAGTAGGTTGTTTACTGAACTGAACTCCTGTTGTGCAGCACGGGAGAGAACATTCAGACAAATTCATCATTTTGTTTTTTATTTGACTGCTGATGCAGTCGCTGTCCACCTCAACATAATTATGTCCGTAGCCAGCACACGAGGTGTTCTTCCTTTTCGTGCAAGTGGAGCATTATTGCTTGCTGATCAAGCGGACGAAGAAGACTGGTACCGTTAGAGCAGCGAAGACTTGACGATGTGCAGCGAAGATCAAGCGGAGAAGATTTGAGAACTAAAACTAGACCCCATGTGCAGTGAACCTTAGATGCTACGGTAGATTTCAAAAAGGAAATGGAAACTCGATGCTATGGTAAATCCTCCCATTCTACCGTTGAGAATAGACCTCATTTATTTCTCCGGAAGCATGCATCGATGGGCTTGCCTTTTCTTTCTGTTGCTTTTTCTTTCTCACATTTTCTCGTATTTTATTCATACTTTTTTGTTTTTATCTTTGAATACAGTTTATGTTACTGTTTTCATTTGAGGGGAAGTTTATGTTACTTGTGTCGTCGAATTGTCACGGCAGATGTTCTAACAGAAGGACTTAATCGTATGACCATCGCAACTAGGAAGCTTAAAGGGGTTAATCGGGACAAAGGACACGAGAGGTTTTATACTAGTTCGGCCCTTACGATGAAGGTAAAAGCCTATGTCTAGTTGTGTTGATATTGCTGGAGTTTCGATCACCAAGAGGCTAGTTCGCCGGCTTGGTTATCGATCTCTTGTTTCTTTTCCTAAGCCGCCGCCGGGTCGTCCTCTTATATACACGGGTTGACACCTGGCGGCCAACAGAGTCCCGGCAGGTTTATAAACGTGTCCGGCTCGGTGACTTCTTTACATGCCTTTCCTTACAAGTCTTTCTTTTCATACGGTGGTTTACAATATTGGGCCTTAAGCCGTCTCTGGGCTTTAGGCCTTCTACAAGTCTTAATAAACTATCGCCTTGAAGGTTACTGTGCTTCTTTTGTAATCCGCCATTGGGGTCGACCCGGCCCCTCCTGGGCGGGTCTTTATCTGTTAACTATATCCCCAACAACTTGTAACTAGACTTGAACGGACAACCTTTTGAAATACGTAACCTTTTTATTGATACTAGCAAGAGAGCTAGTGCGTTGCAACATGAGACAAAATAACACACATTTTTAACTCAATAGCCATGACTCAAGCCTCCAATAGGTTCACATCCTTTATTTTAACAGGGCATCATATTTGTGTTGCCGCTTATTCTCCTTCTCACCCTCGTCGGCAATGGCCTCAGTGCTCACACAACCACAACATATTTGAATCCTAAGACCTCTCTCTCTCTCACGCGTGCTCTCGCTCGGAATAAGATGAGAAATCTGTTGTTTTCTTTTCATGCGAGGTTTTTCAGGAGTGTGCATGCATGGTTATCAATGTTTTCTTTCGTCACAATCTGGTTTTAGAGGGTGTTTATTGCAATCCAGATCGCCACCGCTATGAAAAAACGGTAAGTACACTATAGATTAAGATTATAGCCAAAATAATATTTAACATGTAAAGTAATGTCATAGTCAGATTCTACATATTTTTCTAATCAAATTTCATATATAACATGTTAAAATCAGAGTTATGGTTTAAAAGATATGGATAGTTTAGAAAAAAAAACATTTGTTTTAGATGGATTGTGGATTGATTAGCCAAAAATCTAGGGTTTTCTGTTGGGCCAAAAATCGGAGTTATGGTTTACTTTTTCTTATATGACATTAGCCCTTACTCAAGTCGCCATTATTCCCTTGTACCATTATCATTGAATTGAACCGGCATGTTACTTTCTTTTCAGTTCGTCTTTTAAACATCATGCGTCCAAAACACTGACTGTCTGCAACTGGGTCCCTTCGACAGTAACTGAGGACAATCTGAAGGAATTTTTTACCATAGGTTTTTTGCCAGGGAAGAATGTCATGTCTTACCGTGCACCTCACCTGGACGAGGAACGGCCCAATCCAAAAGATGGTGAAGTCATTGTCTTTTCTGACCATATGAACCGTGGCTTTTCACCACCCAGCTCAAAGTTCTTCAGAGATGTCCTCCATTTTTTCAAACTTCACCTTCAAGATCTCGGGCCCAATTCCATATCCAATATCTTTAATTTCCAAGTTCTCTGTGAGGTATATCTTCAAGAAGAACCGACCGTGGAGCTCTTTAGAGAGTATTTTTATCGGAACCGCCAGAAGAGTGCACCAACGGCCCTATCTTGGAACTTGGAGGCATCTCAATTCAACACCGACAGGGCGCCGTCTTTCCCCTTATAGTCTTGCCGAGTCATCCCAAAGACTGGAATCAGACCTGGTTTTATTGTCAAGATATTTCTCCAGCTAATGAGAAACCACTGCCGGGTTATCGCGCGGAACGTCTTGATTCCAAGTTTGTACTCCCTGACAAGCTCACTGCCATTGAACGCAAGAAGCTCATTCCCTCAATTAAAAGGATTAACGCCTTATTGGGGAACGACTTAACCGGGGTTTACCTGATTCGTTGCTGAATCTCATGGTGGGTCATCCCTCTAAGCCGTCGATCTAAATTGATGTATGAGTATGGTGGGGGCCCAAATGACTCTCTTCGTCACAGCTCTGCTCAACTTACTGAAGAAGATATTGTTTCAATGTCCACTCTTCTAGTGAACGGCAAATATGAAGATTGCAGTAAAGTCGGGTTAAATCCCTTCTGTAAACTTAATCCGGCGCCTGAGGTAAGAACCACCTGACCTTTTTTCTCTTTGTATTTTTCTCAACAGTTTTAAATACCTGCACGGTCTTTTATCCTGTTTACTTGTCTGTAGGCCAAATCTGACTTCTGAAAAGCCAAATATGATCATGAAGCCGCCAAGAAGGCTAAAGCCGCCGCCATAGCCACCAAAAAAACGACCCGGAGATCCAAGAGGAAGAAAAGCACAGCCAAGGACTTGATGAAGCTCGACGATTCTGAGTTGGAGGTAACCCTTGATTCCCTTGGTCAATTTTTTAACAACCTTATTGACACTGATTATTGCCAGGACGACACGGGGGCCAGTCAGGTCAGAGAAGAAGAGGTAATTATTTCCTCCGACTCAGACCATTTGCCAAGACAGAAACTTCGACTGGTAACCCGGAAAGTAAGGTTTTTGCACCCTTTGGCTTATTTGGACCCTCATTTTCTTTTGAAAAAACAGCAACACGAGAGCCGTCGTCAAGCCCGGAACGATGATGAGCCGCCTTCTGTTGTACAACAGACTCCCCAAAAATGCCAACATGAGGTCTCTTTTATCTTCCTCTTCGGTCGTCATTCATGAATCTATTCTCTTGTATTACTAATCTTATTTTATCTTTGTAGGAGGTGTCTCGCTCTTCTCGCGATTCATCTCAGACTCAACTCCCGGCCTTTAATACTGCCCTGGGTAAGGAAGAACTCATATTTCCTCCGTGTCTTTCATACCGCCTCTTTATATTAACTGTTTTATAACATCTTTCTTAGTGGCCAAGCCAAGTCGAAGAAGGCCAAGGTGACTAGGCCAGTGGAAGATCCGTCAGTCCTTGCACCTGAATCGGCCATGCCACCTTCTCCTCCTCAAACTAAAGCACCAGAAGACCCGACTGCCGATGCTGAATTCAATCCTCCTGAGCCGTCAGCTGACGATACCACCGTTAACCCTTCTGCTACTGGTCCATCCAGCTCGGCCAACCTGCCAACACCGTCTGCCCCGGACGTTCTGATCACTGGAAGCCGCTTTGTTGAGCCGGGGAATCCCACCGTGTTGGCTCGTCACATCGCTAAACAAGAGGCCTTGGAAAGACAGAAAGTGCGATTTGATATTTCTCATTACAACCATGTGAACGCCAATGACATATTGTCCGGCTATCTCAGCCATGTGCACTCCAGTCATGAATCGGAAATCGAAATGGTCAAGCAGTTGCAGCTGAAGTATGAGGTATGCTCTTCCGGCTTACTTATATTCTGCCAGCCCCCAAGTCTTTAGATTATGATAAAACCTGAATAATCTGTAGACTTATAATATAGGCCAACGCTTTTACCTTTAGATTTTTCTGAAGTTCAATAAAATAGAACAAAATTCACCTGTAGTCCCCAAGGGCCGGTTCACTTTGACCGTAAATGAGCCGGGACTTTTAATTTCATCACTGACTTGTACTGAATCCAACCAAATATTGTACTCCAGCTTAATCTTGAGAGACTTTCTGAACATCATGCATTAGCCCCCAAGTGCCAGGTGTTGTTAATTTGTAAGGTACTTGGGACTTGAAATATATTAGAGTCTTAAGAAATTGTTTTGGCATACATTAGCCCCCAAGTGTCAAGTGGTTTAGCATTGCATGGCACTTGAGACTTGAATCTTTACTCTTGAATTTTAATTTTAAATCTTGACACACCTGTGTATGTTTTGTAGAACACCCTGTCTGAATTGGGTTCACAATTAACTGACGCCAATACCCGGCTGGCGGATCAGGAGGCAGAAATTAAATCTGCCAACTCTAAACTTCAATTGAGTCTTACTGAAACGGAGAAATTGAAAACCAGCTTGACTGCCAAAAAGAAAACCTGGGCTGAAGAGAAGACACTGCTG